CAATATAAAATATTCAATATACACTATTCAATATAAAATATTCAATATAAAATATTCAATATACACTGTTCAATATACACTATTCAATATATAATATTCAATATACACTATTCAATATATAATATTCAATATACACTATTCAATATATAATATTTTTTTTCTCAGGAAGATCTCAGTGCTCTTAAAAAAAAAAAAAAAAAGAAAGAAAAAAAAATTGCTCAGGACTTACTTGATTCCTGGAACTTCACATGATTTAGGTCTGGATGACCCAGTCTAAAAGAGAAGGAAGAGAGTTTTTAAAGGCACAGAAGGAGGAGAGTTTTTAAAGGCACAGAAAAAGAGAGTTTTAAAGGCAAAGATACTGCTGGAAATGAATGTTCAGGATATATTTCAATTCAAAAGGTTTAATTTAATACATTTCTACGAGAGCTGTTCTACACAAGAGCTCTGTGAATCTCTTAGGAGATATTTATCACCTTCTTTTTGCTTTATTGTCCCAACAAATCTTAAATTTCAAGAGTTTCTCCTGATGAAATCAATCACACATAAATACCTAAAAATGCCTTTCTGGTCTGTTGTTTATGATTTGTTTCTAAACACAACATTTAATCTCAAATCTCTTCAAGTGGTGACAATATTTCAAGCATTCATTTAGCTCAATATGTTGAGAAAATAATATTTCTACATTTTTCAAAGGGTGCAATTCCCACCTTTTTAGTGTCCCAGCCTTGCTTGGAGAGGGTTTTGTCTGCATCTGAGGTGCCTTCCTCCATTCCAGGGACAGTCAGCAACAAAACTAAAACAACAAACACAAAAAAAAAAATCACATAATTAATAATCAATAACATGAAGCTTCTCAGGAAGACATTTTCAGACTGGAAATTTAACCACTTGAAACAGTCACACTCGTTAATAAAAGATACCAGGAAGCAGAAGAGACTAAAATTGTGTTTAATTAGTCAGTGAGACATTATCAGCTTTAAAATAATACTTTAAAAGACCTCTGGTCTCCAATTTAGGCTGCTAAGGTTAAAGATCTAAACGGATCTAAATGGATTCCATTTGGATCTAAATGGAAGGGAGTATTTGGGGCCTGGTTTTTTTGCATTCTGCACGAGTGATTTCCACCTGGGACATCCAATGGGCAGCCAAGAGGACAATTCCAGGGGGGAACAACCCAATCCATCTCCCCTGGGAGAGAGAAACCCTACAAAGCTGCTGCTTCTCCACATTCCAAGGTCATTTCTTGGTTCAAACAAACAACTCCAAGGTGACAAAGAACCATCAGAAGGAGCCCAGAGGGAGAGATGAATCCACAGGAATGTTTCACACCGACACCCACAAACCCATATTTAGGGAATACTCTTTAACAGGACCATTTTTCCATGTTTTCCAGCTCCAGGAGCACATGGAAGAGCCGCAGCACAGCGAGTTTGTGTCGCACGTTCACCCATCTCCGGGTGCTTGTTGAAGGATTAAACTTCCCCCCAGGGATTCCAGAGCTTCCCACAGAAGCAGGGAATTGTTAAGGCTGGAAAAGACCTTTAGGATGCTCAAGTGCTGCCGTGTTCCCTGAGCTGGAGCAGGCTCAAGGCCCAGCAGAGGGCACCAGAAGTGTGGTGCTCCAGCCTGGAGCTGGGAATGTCCTCAGCGCTGTCGGGAAGTGCTGCCTCCGAGGGGATGTTCCCTGGGGAATCTCCAGGCTGTAAATTAAAAACTGAGAGGAAGCCTTGCTCCCTCCCGGTGTTGTATCCCTGAGTGAACTCCTGGGATCCCTGTGCTGCTCTGGAAGTCACTCCAAGCTTTTGGTGGCACTGGGAACACTCACCACCAGAGTGCCACCAGCCCAGGTCACTCCTCCCCAGGGAGAAGGGTCAGAATAACACAATTTGGGGCTCAGGGAAATGTTCTCCTTTAGTTTTGTATCATTTTTTTCTGGATTTCAGCACCCACAAAGGTCATTATGTTCCCTCACTCCGATTCCAGGGTCATGGATCCAGGGAGCAGCAGCAGACCCGTGTTTCCCAATCCCCCCTGGGAGATGATGGGAATGCTCTGGATGTCAGAAATACCTGTATCTGTTTTTCCCTGTTTACCTCTTTTCTGCTGCATGTCCTGGGACCCCCCAGAGAAGGATTCCTGCTGAGCTGGAGTCATGGTGCTCTGGTGCAAGGCAGAATCAGAATTCGTCCTGAAAACGGAACAAAAAAAAGGCAAAACCCACAATATTTTTATTGCCAGCTGCTCTAAATAAAAGAATTTAAATCTCTCAGATCAAGGCAACCAACTCAGTAAAACCTGAACACTCTGCACTGAAAACCAAAAATCTACATATGGCACATCCCAGGGAGGATTTCTTCATGAAACAATCAATTTGCAGGACAAATCTAAAGTTTGAAGAGCCATTGTTTCAATAAAGGGATTGAGAGGGATACAGGATAATTTGATTGCCCTCGTCAGAAAAGAATTCTCTCAGCTTTGTTAAGGTCATGCAGGATCAAATAATGCCCTTTCTGAGCAGAAAGCTGTTTATAAATACTCTGGTTACAGTTTGAAAAACAACCATCCCTGTTTGGCAGGGAGGGAAAATGAGTGGTTTGGGATGCAGGGACACTGTGGAGATGGGAATGTCCGTGGGCATCACAGCTCTGGTGATGAACCAGCCCTCAGCTGTGAATGCAGGGCAACGAGTCACAACTCAACAACTCCGGGCCGTGCCTTGGAACATCAAGGCTGACCTTGGAAAAGCTCACACACCTTAATTTCAAAGAGGGTCATCCACAAGGAGCACAACCAAAGGAAAACCCCATTTCTGGGTTGAGAAAGGCACCTCAGCTATGCTGGGGGGATGGTGAGGGTGTCTGTGCCCATTGAGGTGCTGCAGAGTCAGGGAAGAGCCCGAACACACGCCCGAGGTGCCACCAACCTTCTCCAGCTCGTGTCCGATGGAGGGGACAGATACACTGTTCCATAGGGACAGCTGTCCACGTGATCCCAGAGTTAAGGGGAACAACAGCACTTCCTCACTGAAGCAGGAGGCCCACTGGAAATCTTTTCCTAAGAATAATTCCAATTACCCCGTCAGAAGGGAGAAAAGCGAGCAGACGCCCCGAGGGGAACTTTAAAAGGACACTCCAACCAAAGGATTACGTGGATTGTTGTGATGTTTGAGCAGCAGGAGAATCGTCCTCCTCTCCTGCAGATCCAACTGCTCCCTGGGCAGCCACCACCCCCCCACTCCCCCATTCCCACATCCCCTCCAGCCCCATCAACCCAACCCGTTGGTGGCACATTTTAAGGCCGTCAGGAATAATCAGCTAATTGATGTTCCCACGTGGCAAGAAGAAACATCACTGGGCAAATGCCAAGGGGGATGAATCAACCTGCAATCAAATGCACAACCAACTGCAAAAATTATCCTGGGCTGGATTTACTCGGATCCAAAGGGAAACTCTGCTTCCCCGAGACGGGTGTGACTTTTCAGAGAATCAGGGAATGGTTTGGGTTGGAAGTAGATGATCTGTGTCCTTCTCATGTTGGGGGCCACAAAGCTGGTGAACCTGTGGAGGGTGCCCTCGATCCCACTGCCCATGTCACCAACAAAGACATGGAACACCCCAAAACCCCGAGGGAGCCACCCACTGCTGGTCCCACTGAGCCACCGACTGCAGCTCTGGGAGCGTGGCCATCCAGGGAATTCCTTACCCAGAGAGGGCCATCCATCACATCCATGACTCTCCAGTTTAGAGGCAAGGATGTCACGTGGGACACTGCCAGAAGCTTGGCACAAGTCCAGGGAGACGATGGCAGTGAGCCCATCATAGGAGGCCGCAGAATTGGGCAGGATTTGCCCCCAGGGAAGCCCTTGCTGGCTGTCACCAACCCAGCAAAGGATCCCAATCCCCCTCGGCTCCGTGTGCAGGATTATCCCCACTCAGAGCTGAGGAAACAGGGGAAGGGAAACGCTCCCTTTAGGTACTTCCAGCCCAGGCCACAGCTCAGGAGAAGAGGTGGCACCAACGGGGACGGGAACGACTCGCCCAGGTGAGGAGGGGAAGGAGGGAACTGTGGGAACTGGAAGCAGTGATGTTGTTGCTGGGAGTCCTGCCCCAAAGGATATCTGTCTTCCATGTTTATCCACGGAGAGGGGCCGGCGGTGGGGGGAGCCCAGGCGGTTCCTGTCCCGGTACACTCTGTCCACCAGCCCGTGGTGCCGGGTCGTCCTGCTCGTGTCCAACCCCGACGACTGGAACGGAGTCTGAGGGAGACACAGCAAGTCAGGAAGGGGAAAATCCACACACAGGCTGCCCAGAACCTACTCGGGGTGTGTGCAAGGCTGTGATGTTCTGAGGAATCACACTCACACAAGAGGTGGACCAGTGTCATCACGGCAACGTTCCCCTCCGTGGTTTTCCCGGTAGCCTTGGGAAGCGACACCCAAGGCTGTCCTTCCAGAGGGGGACCATGCTGGACCTGCCCTCTCCTAGATCAGCTCTCAGGCCTCCATATCCCTAAAACCCCCCCCGTGTGAGGGTGGCAGGGAGCTGCCAGCTGTGTCCACATGCCCTGGGTGCAGCATGCAGGGTGCATCCAGAAGGAACATGCCGACCCCACGGGCAGGAGACGCGCGGCGAGTCCGACATTCCGAACGCGCCGCCTGCTCTCGGGACTTCCTTTCACCCCTCCCTCTGGGAATTATTTTAAGGGGACACTGAGAGAATGAAAAGAAAAAGAAAAGCAGTTTCCTTCCTCCTCTGTCTAGAAAAAGTTTGATATTTCCAAGGCGACTGATATTTCCGAGGTGACTCTCGGCTCCCTCCGGGACCCGGGGTGGGATGGTCCCACCTGGGCTCTTATCAGTGGAGACCTGTCAGCAAATATTTCAGAGGATGAGGACAGCAGAGAAAGGACAAGGGAAGATGAATTCCCAGGCTAAACTGGAAAACTCCCACATTTTCCAAAGCCTTTCCCTGCCTATACCTGGGGGGGGGGGGCAAAGGAAGTACCGAGGGGGCGATCTCCGCTCGTCCTCCCCCGGCAATTTATGGGTCTCTGGGGGGGGGGGGAAAAAAACCCAAAACCTCCCCAGTTTTCCACTCCTTGCCAATGTGAACAGCTTTGCTGAGTCCCTCAACACCATCTGTTTGGAAATCCAAAATTTCCTCCTCCTCCATTCAGGTGCTGCACGTGGCAAATGCAGTGTCCTGTCTGCCAAGCCATGGAACCATCTGGCTCCCACATTCAGCTCTTCTTGTTTTTCTTTTTTTGTTGTTTTTTTTTTTTTTTTAGTTTTTTTTTCTCCAAGTGTCAGCTTTGGCTGTTGAAACGATTCTTTTCCAAAAAAGCTTTGCATTTATTTTTAAAAGCTTTGTTTGTAATAACTTTTTAACGAGCCTTTCTGCTCCTCTGAACCCTTTTTCTCTTCGGCCAACGCCGGTCTCCTCACCCTCTCTGCACACACAGCCTGTGTTAATAAAATGGATGCAGAGTGGTTGTGGTGTTTATTTTTTCATTTCAAGGCCAACACTTTCTCTGTGCAGCAGAATATTTAAGTCAACCTGGGGCTGGAAAGGAGCACAGTGACTTTTTAATGCACTCTCAGCCCTCAGGATCAGACTTTTCTCGTACGAAGGCTGAGAAATCTCGAACGGAATCTCAGTTTTTTAAGTCGTTCAAAATAAAACACGGTGGTTTAATCTCTGCTGCAAACACCACACGACAATCTAGTCCTGTCCCCGCACAGAAGTGGGAATATTTATAATCCCAAGCCAACAGAAGGTCCCCAACTCCTCCTTGCACTGTTGCCACAGCCCTGCGAGCCCAAAAGGCAGCAAAATTTGCAAAGCCGTGCTTGGAAGGTCAACAGGAAAAGCAATTTCCTTGTCAGTGGTCTCACCACAGTGCTGCTAAAAAAAGGAGCAGGCAGCCCAAAGCACACGGAATGCAGACCTCACCTGGAATTTAAAAGGAAGCCAAAGCATAGGAGACAAAAAGTTGAAGGTAAAAATAGTTATTTCTTGTGTTTTGCCTTTTTTTTTTTTGGCACAGCCTCCTTATTAAAAACCCAGCAAAAGTCTCGTTTGAGTGCAGCAGTGGAATAAATAAACATGGAGCGTGTTCCAGCTACAGTTTATGGGGTGAGGAACTTGGGGGCAATGGTGGTGTCCTCTGGCTTTCCAGGAGCAAAGATCCCAAGTGAATCCCTGACTCAGGGAAACAGAAAACACTTCTGGATGTCACCTGCAACAGGTCTGGCTTCCCATAAAACTTCCTCTGGGCCAAAAACCAGGACAACGTTCCCTGATTAAAATCCCCACCCCAGCAGGGCAAGAGATGTTTAACTGTAATTTAAAAAGTGGATTTAAAAAAAAGAAAAACAGAAAAACAAACAAAAACCAGATCTGAGCATCGATTTTATTGGGAAAATGAAGAAGCAGAAGTGTTTCACTTCCCTGGAAAACATTAAAGGGTTTGAGACCAGACCCCAAACCCCACAAACCATCCAAAAAAGCAGCTAAATACAGACAGGAAGGAAAAAGCTCCGAGCTCTACACCAGTGTCCTTTTAAGATTGGTCAAGACTTCAGGAATGAACCCAAGCGAGGTGGATGAGGGGGAAGGAGGAGTTGGGGGGGGACGACCTCCAACAGTTTAAATTCCAGAGCCTCCCGGTGCCAAGCAGGATTTGGGAACTCATTCCCCACAGAGTTTCACATGCACATGCTCAGAGCTCGCTCAACCCCCCAGGCCAAGCCTGTCTGCCCCACGGGAATCCCAAGGAATCACACATGGAATCACACATGGAATCACACACACGGAATCAGCGAGTCCAGGGAGGGAGCCTGGCCGGGAATTCTGCTGCACGTTCCAGCCTGGGATGCACGGCCAAACCCCTGGATTGGGGGGCCAGAGCAGGACTCCTGACCAGAGAGATGCTGTGCAGAGCAGGGCAGGTGGGGCTGTGCTGAAATACGTATCTACCTGGGCAAACAGGACCAGTCCTAAATACGTATTTGCACAAACCTAAATATGCTTGTTTACCAAAGAGACAGGAACTGCTCCAAAGGTTTCTGCCAGAGCTCCGTTGGGCTGTAAATCAAAGAACCGAGATGCTCAGACACCAACGCTCCCCCCAAAAGCAGACACAACAAACCCTTCGCCTCGGAATTCTTCTGTTTAACTTAAAAAAATAAATAAATAAAAAAAAAAATCTCCAGGGTTTTTAACTCAACGTTTGGGGGAAAAGCCCGGGAAGAACTCACCACTCATGCAAACACACGGGGTTGTGTTGTTGCTTCTCACTGTTTGTTATCTGGGACAACATAAATTTTGGATCTTTTTCTCTGTGTGTGTGTGTTAAAAATCCCTAAACCTCTGGAGTTTTGCATTTTTTCTATGCGTGTGTGAGTGTAAAAAAAAAATCTATTAACCCCTGGAGTTTTTATTTTTATTTTTTCTATGTGTGTGTGTGTGTGTGTGTGAAAAAAATCTCTAAACCCCTGGAGTTTTGAATTTTTTTTTTTATGTGTGTGTGTGTGTGTGTGAAAAAAAAATCTCTAAACCCCTGGAGTTCTGTATTTTTTTTATGTTTGTGTGTGTAAAAAAAAAAAATCTCTAAGCCCCTGGAGTTTTGTATTTTTTCTATGTGAGTGTGAAAAATCTATAAACCCC